ATTTTCACAACATTTTAATTAATCAAACAAACGCTGTCGAGACCTCAATCCCTTTGTAAATTCAGCTGAAACCAGCCAAAAATGACCAACTGAAAGAAAGTTAGCAGGTAGGGAAACACACACCGTGAGTGCAGAAATCTTGATAAAGGTTTCCGACCAGAGACAAGAGATCTCACAAGAAAAACTTGTTTTAGAGACAAAATCCGGGGCAATATCCCACAATTCTATCAATCAGCTAAGAATAAAACAGAAAAACAAGCAGGACCTGAAAAGCCTTATTTTGGCGCTTTTTTTTTTTTTTTTTTTTTTTTTTTTTTACTACAGAGGACCAATTACGTGGTCTTCTCCCTCAAAAGAGAACATCATTACGGACATGCAGATAGGCAACTCCAGTTGCTACAGCACACAACCATCCCCCCTCTCTGCCGGGGGCACGGCAAAGTTGGCAGAAGAAAAAAAATGGGCAGTGTGGCACACGTACATTTCTAACAGGAGAAAATAGTAACGAAGTATAATTACAGGAGAGCAGCTGTCACACAGTTTGTCACTCGGTTATATGGGTAAAGGCCGCGATGTTTGGGGTTCAGCGAATGGAACTCGGTGCGAGCGCTTCGTCGGTTTCACTGGGCTGGCAGGCTGGGGAACACAAAGCCGGTTTTAAATCGTTGCCGTCTGTGAACTGGCGCATTGTCTTACTATAGGACAAACTGTAATACGGAACTGCACATACTCGACCAAAACAGGACACTATCGATCACGTGTACGTGTAGATAAAAACACCTTAACCAAGAAAAGAACTAAACTTGCCACATGGTTAGGCCATCTGTGCGATATAAGCCTATTAAACTCCCCAACAGAAAAAAATACTCTCAACGTTCTTGCTCAGAAAGTTGTCTGAGTTTAAACAAGAGTTTTCTCTTGTACAAATTCTGGGATTATTACAATTAAAAACTGAACACCAGTTTAGACTCTTTCTCTGTACCATTACCGGCACGGGGGCAATAACCGAGCTAGAGACCTGCAAGAGCATCTCCTCCTGGGAGGAGACCCCCGAATCTCACCTTACTGACCACTCAGATATGGCAAAATTGCATTAAACTTTTCCTTCTTTATTTCTAGGTCGTGTAGTTTACAAGGAGTTTTATTACGTTGGTGTGGAGTGACAAAAGTAAAATTTAAATACACGGTTATAAACAGGCAGCAATATTACAGAAAACAAGATACACACTTTAACTGTCCTCTGTAACCATGCTTTCAAAGAAGGCAGAAAACCATTACATACAATTTGTCTACCGCATACGCTCAGTGCAATTACTAGCACATCCGCAAAATAGAGTTAAAAAGAGCAAGCTTGCAGATTTGTGCTATACTTTAAGCTCCTCCCCAGGAACTTACAAAAATAATTTGCGGTTATACCGATCCTTGCGTTGTGCCTGTGCTTACCAGCACTCCTGATAATCTTCCAGTGGTGACATTTTTGAAGGCAAAAATAGGTTTCCTTAAACGTAAGGCTAATGTAAAACTACTACAAACAGGTACCACGTCTTTTAAAAAATAACGTGGAACGCCACATGAAGTAGTGAGAGCTAAACGAGATGTTTCGCAAGAACATTGAGAGCGCAGGCAGATGAAGGCGTTACGGTGGGTAAAGGAGGACCTGAACTCGCAAGATGCCAGCTGCTTTGCCGTTAAGGGCCAACGCGCACACTCTTACCTTCCCCCTCCGCCCGCCCCTCCTGCGTAGTGAGGGCAGAACACCACAGTTAAATCGTTCCGCGGTAATTGGTTCGTCTGGCCGTACCCACACGGACATACACAAAATGTCTGGAGCTGCAGAGGACCCACGGCACTCCAGAGAAAGAACCGCTTTGTTATTACGCCACGAGCATTCTGTACTGTAGCGATCATGCCGCCATCCTTTAGCAAACTGGTGCTCAACGGCAAAGTGCAACTGCAAGGAAAATTAAGTTAAAAAAATAGATTACACATCTAGTACTTACAAAAAGCAAGCCTTCGGTTCAAATGACTGATTTTATTTTCTTTAAACAGTGAGTTTATTTACTGCCCAATCTTGAAATCCCTGACAAATAAGCAGTTCCACTAATTTAAACGTTTGCATAAACAGGGATAGCTTGTCGCTTAGCATACTCAAGACTGAGTGAAGCAGCACTACCTGCACAGAAAAATCATCAGTGCAACGTTATAACACAGAAATGTTTTCAGCGTGAAACCACCTCTCAAAAATAATCGATACACTTCTTTTTCTTTCAGAAACTGAGGCCATGCTTCTTTCAAACGAAGCTCTTCTTCTGTTACCAATATAGTTCCGATTTTTAAAGCATCAATACTTTTCAATAGCAAATGATTGTAACTTTACATTCAAGATACAGCACGCTTTTTTCAGTGAATCGCAGTTTAAGATAGTCTATATTTAAATAATCTATATATTACCTATAAAAATACACATCTCTACCATAAATGAGGTCTTGTCTTTTTCTAAATGTCCTAGCCTTTTGGCCAATGGCCCTCGCTGCAGGTCTGACTCATCTTAAGCTCCTAAACTAAAGGACACATTCACCAAGCAAATTCTGCGATGGTCTACTCAGAGAAGTATTTCCTCAACATACAGTCCTGGAACGCAACTAAAATGCAACTCAAAAAAATGCATCTGTAACTTTTTAAATGATTGTTCAAAAATAGCGTACCTTAGAATTTCATTCACTTAATTTTCTGATTGAGAAATTCTTGAGATTCCAGCCAGCACCGTAGATTTAACTTCCTGGCTAACTCTCTGAGTTCTGTGCATCTCCAAGTAAGCTCGCTTTAATTTCGAGTCCTTACGTTAACAGATGACTGGGGAAAAGCTTCCACTAATCTATTTATATTTCAAATGCAAACACATCTGTTTGTTTCCGTATGCTGTAACAGCACGTATTTATTGAACGGCTGAACGTTCTACTGTTGAGATGTCAACAGGTGAATTCCCCACTGCACGGTGCTCAGATGTGCAGTTCACAATAGCAGAGCTAAATCTGTTTCCTCAAGGGCAAGCCTATCCTTAATGTGCAAGAGCACCCAAAACACCACAGTTAAAGATATTAATCAAAGAGGAGTTATAAACCGTTGCTCAAACTTACGCGTGGTTCAATCTACCTTACACTCACTTAGCCATAAAGGAAAAGCAGTACCTCGTTACGCTGGCAAACGTGGCGCGTCTGAGAATATGGCTACAAGAATGAGCGCACATATACCCGTTTCTTTCAACTGTTGTTTCAACCTGGCCGGAAGTTTTATAGCTCTGTTAGCCTGACGTGTCCTCTAACTGTTAAATTATTTGATTAATAATAATTAAGGCTATTAATATGCATAGAATAAGGGCTGCCATGGTGATGTGAAGTCCTGCAAGGACACCTCACCTGCTTCCAGAACGGTTAGAGAACCTGGGTCTTTTTGTACCAAGCCAGGTAGATATGCCTATACTTTCAAAATTTTAATCCTTTACCTTCCAAAAGTCATATCTGTTTTGTTTTTTTTTTTTTAATTAAACAGGTAAGTTACCTCAATGTTATGCAAAACATAAAATCATCAGTTTCTTCATTAAAAACAAGGCAAAAATGCTCCCTTAGCTACCAGAATAAGAAGCACCTGAATATAGGTAGCCTTGGTGAGACAAACCGAGGTAAACCTCAGGGTAATACTGTGGGGAAAAAAAATGCCGCCTAACCAACTGTGTGTGCAACTAACATTACTGTTTCCAAGAACTATAAAAGCATAAGTCAGGTATCTTGGAGCACTCACAGGAACAGTGGAAATTTCAAAATTCAGAATTTTCAAGAAGTAACTTTTTTCTGGGGAGACAAGTAATAGGACACAGCATACAACACTCAGGCTCAGTTGTGCAGTCTTTCTGCCTAACGCCTATCACTTTCGGTAAAGAGGTACAGAGATTTAGGCAGCAAGACCAAATACTGAATATATGGATAATTTTTCTTTTACGCTGCAAGACATTCGTTCTAATGATAAAAATAGGCGTGATGAAGAAATATTTGCCACTGCCTCAGAGCCAACGTCTTAATGAGATATTTCAGAATGAATGTAGGTAATAAAGATTTATTTGTGTGAGCATTCAAACATGTTTAGGTGAAAAAAAAAGATCGACCTGAATCTCACTACAAGCTTCACAAATAGCGTCTACTAAAATAGAGCAATACGTATGGTTCAGAATTTGCATTGGCACAATTTAAAACTGAAACCGTGAAAGAGCTCATGCTTTAGGAAAAACAGTGATTTAAAATTTAAAGCTTTGAGAGACGAGGTGTGTTAAATTTAAAACAACCAGAAGTAGTACCATCATTAGAAAGTCAGACTCAGAATACAGATAAAAAGGAAGAAATACTGGAGAAACAGAATAAAATTGTGTCTTTGCTGAGGTACGAACAGAAGGTTCCATAGTACAGGCTTAACTCTTTCAATGGCAAATCCTTCACGTACAAAAATCAAACCAAGATTCACTTGTCACATAATTCAAAATTTACATGTAAGAAAGGCAAGGCAATACTCAGTTATGGCCTGTCAAATATTTACCCCACTAACATTATCTACAGAAGCACTTTACCATTTTGTACACAGTGATTCGTTATGCACGTTGAAAGGCTTTCAGTTAAAAAAGACATTATATACATATCTGTACACACTTCCAACAAACGTACGCCATCGCCCAGTGGAATTCTTAAAGCAAGATACCTGAGGTTTCTCAATATCTTCAATTTCTCTATCACAAACCTAAATATACATTTCAGGTTTTACAAAAAGACACCTCCCTGGAATATGTGCATTATCATTAAAAAAAAATTTATAGCTTTAAGGAGCTGAAAAAGACTGCCTCCATCCGAGAGACTTCGTTTTCATTCTTGCACATGTAGGGATGTCCTTCCGCCAAAGGACATCCCAGCGACTTGAGGGGCAGAACAACATCAGGGTGCGCGCCTTCAATGCAGACACCGTGGGATCTCTGTTGTCTTAGAAAAGTCAGTAGGATGCAGTACTTCCTCCAGCCAGTGAGTATCTGAAAAGGAAAAGAAATAGTTAACCTTGTGACCTTCGGAACAGTGTTCCACAACAAGCAGCAACTAAAAGTTATTCCATTTTATGCTATTGAAGTTCCAGCCTTTTTCCCTGCAGAATGACACCCACCACTGCTGTCACGCTTTGAAGACAAAAGCCAAAGAGCTGAACGACATGTAAAATACACCCTATTAGAACACCGCTGCTTTTCTAATGAATAGCAACAACCCCTGCTCAAGCGTGTACTGAGAAGTATATGATGATGTAAGAATCCAGCATTCTGGGGGCAACAGTTTATGATTCCAACTTTCCTACTTAGCAAGTTTACATCGTAATCTTTCCAAAATGTTACTGGGGCAGGAAACCTCTATTTCTTGGTCTAAGCAGATTCTTAAGAATCATCCAAAGAAAGCAGCACACATTTTAATCACGTTAAGCTTTCAATAAACTTGATAAAACATCAGAGATCAGAACTGGAAGGGGAAGGCAAATGGAATCACTCAAGTTATTGGGCAGATCTTCCGAGGGTCCCAACTAATACATTCAGACAAACTTGGGAAATCCAGTTTTAACCAATCATAAGGGGAATGAAAATCTCATTAGAAACATGTTGTTAAAGAGCCATCTTCAGTAGTTAGCTATCAAATCGAGAGGATATTGCAAGTGGATACAATAAATGACTTAATGATGTAATTTTTTTGCATATTTCTTGTAGTATTCAAACAAGAAGGAACTATCTTTTCAGAAGCTGACTCGCTCCAAAAACAGCTTTATCCATGAGGGATACCTACTAAGCTATGGAAGGGTTCAAACTCCTTTTTAGGGGGGGATCCTGCCATTCATTTCTTTCACTCACTTTCTGGAAGGAGTGCTAGTCATGATCACACACTAGCTGAATATCATCCCTGGAGTAAGAGAAAGTTCACCCAGATGTGACTCATCAACAAACATTCTCTATGAATATTTCTCTCTCTCCTTCAAAGAAAATGAAGTGCCTGCCTCCACTGTTATGAGACATTATGACCGAGAAAAACAGCAGTAGTCCAAGGAAGCAAACAAGGAAAACAAAATGCTAAATAGGTATATAAAGGGTTCTGAAATCTATCTCCTAGGACAAAAATGATGACTGTTGCTGTCACGATAGGAACAAGTAAGATCATCTCCAGCATCCGCAAAAGAAGCGCCCAGTGGAAAGCCTGTCTCTACACGGTCACCTTCAGCTTTAATAGCAGCAGCAGCCGTCTTTGAGGTTCCCAGTTCCAGGAAGGCCCTCTACCAGGCTGACAGAAGCTTGACACTGATTGGACTTGACATTGGACTGATGAAAGACTGGGATCAGTTTTGGAACCCCTAATGGAAACAAACTGAGATGGAAGCTCCAGAAACTCTTTCAAGCCTGCCAGGATCAACTGAAAGGAGAATCAGGACATCTGGCATCAAGGAGTGACCTTTTAGCACTAGAGATGCTCACTGGGCTTCATGCTTAACAGCCCAGAAAGCAAGAAACACGACTGCTTGCAGATTTCTTGGCAGTGGTTTTTACTGAATGACAGTGTCAGCCTGGCAATCCTCTGCTTTAACTTCAGAGGTGTGAATTCTTAAACTTTACCAAGCTATGGTTAGAGACAGTACAAGGGAGGCACCTGCTCAGAGGGATCTTTTTCAAGGTAGCAGTCCATGATTAATCATTGCCGTGAGTTTTTTCTAGTACCAAGCAATCCAACCTGGATGGTGTAGATTCACAACAGCTGTGGACTCCTGGATTCAAGGTTGTATTTAAAGTCTCTTCAAGCAGTAATTCTGAAATTTATGCCCCTGATCTTTTCCTGTGTAGCATTTAAAAGAACAGCAAATTGAGTGTTCGTTAAGAATATATTCCTGACCTAAGCAGTTAGAAAATCTCTTATGAAATTTGGCCTTTTGAAGTAATACAAAAAGTTGGTTTTGGAGGTACCACCAAAAGGCCATACAGACTATCTTAAATGAACAAACAAGGAACCACTTACTCTGTGACTGAAAGAAACACAAATTAACTGAACAGTCCATTTATCGAAGTGGGTAAAAGAAATTGAGAGTGATACAGGGCATCCTCTGCAACATACACCCAGACACTGAGAAAGCGTGAATGTCCCTTATAGGAACCACAAAGGGAAGAGGCTGTCTAGCCTCATCTGACACACAAGATGCACACCAACAGGATGAACGTACATATGGGCTATCACCTGAAGCCAGAAATTAGAACTGCTGATATGATTAGTTTTTTTTCTACTAAGCAAACACAACTGTACAAACTATAGGCACAAGTGGTTTTTTTCCTCTATTATAAACAGAAATTAATTCTTTCAATTTAACACTAGTCAAATATTTGTAGAATCAGATCTGCAATTTTCTGTAACCCTTAGTGAAATAGTTTTGTTACCTCTGAAGCCTCTGCACAAGGCGTGACACCATGTTATCTGCAATGCCCGGACAAGCCTCTTCAGCTAAATAAATAGCCTTTCTCAGTTCTTCTATGGAATCTGTGTTACCTCCACACACTTCACTCTTCTCTTTCAACTGAAAAAAAAAACAGGAAGAGGTATATTAATAAAGATATTCATAAATATTTCTATAAACAATACAATGCAAAAGCTTGTTAGGAAGTGACCGCCAGTGTTCACAATGTCAGGATTTGACTTTCATTATACACCCTCACATCCTGAAGACATTTTTCATCCTGATGTTAGTCTTTGCAATAGTTATCAGGATGTCATTCATCTTCACAAGCCTTCAATCATTCACATATCCTTTTCAGCGTGCTCACATTCAAAAATTACGACAAAGTATCCCAAGAAAGATGCACTATTTACCTGTAGCTGTTCGGTGTCAAGATGTGCTGCTTATACATACTCACTTTAGTATACATACTTGTACACCAATAGCTTATACGTATACACTGCAGGTGCACTTGTGCAAGCACTGTTAGAAAACGTTTTCATCCTGTCAACTCTATTAACAGAGTACCCTGAGCACTCTCTCATCTCTCCCCTGAAGCAAAGGATCCCATGATTAGCCAGGAACTGAGAGCTGAGAGGGAACATCTCAGTGCTTCGCTTATGTAGGAGCTGGTATAATACACTGAGTATGGCTGGTAAAATGCTTTCTTTCTCAGAACTCACTAAAGAACATTCAAAACCGGTGTGGGCTTCCTTGGAAAAAGTGTTATGTTACTAGTAGTAAGGGTGAATAAAGGCATGGCCTTCTTCCAGGGACCGGACTTGTCCCAGCAGGTTGGATGTCTGCATCTACAAGTTTCTCTCCACATTTATCACTACAGCTGTTGTCAAGAGCTGCTTTGCAGCATCCTCTTAAGGATGGAATCAAAGTCATTTCTCGGGGCCGGGGAAGGGGACATACTGGTGTATATCCCCCCCCATTTCTCGGGGCCGGGGAAGGGGACATACGGGGGACGGGGGATGGACGACTGGTGAAAAAAAATACTCCAGTTGGAAGCTGACTGGGTTTACGAGTGCTTTGGACCAAAGAGTTTGAGTTGTTTACGCAGAACTAAAGAACAGTGAAATATTTTTCTACATATTTCTCTACAAATTATTCAGTTAATTTAAGAGTCGTCTCTGAATGCTGGACCTATAGTCTGCCTTTATGCCATTACTGCCAGTAATGAAGAAAGCTTAGCTTGAACAAATGGAAAGTTTGTGCCACTTTCTGGGATATAATGTGGGCATGCATACACTTTTGGCCCTACTTAAGTATAGCACAGGGGATTGTGTCACATGGAATAAGCATGATCCCTGGAAAGCAGAATTAATAGATCAAGACGATTTTGAGTTCAGTGTAGTACAAGACATTCTGGAGGGAACAAAGTGGCAGTGAAGTTCTTTGGAGATGTCCAAGCACTAAAGCAGCCTTTCAGAACTTTCTGAAGTGGACTTTCAACAGGTGTCAGGAACTACTGCTCAAGAGTTGCCATCAGCATTGAGGAAAGGTTTTTCTTTAAAAAGGAATCTGAGTCTTGCAAGGGAAAACATAAAGGAAATAATCATTGTTCTAGTTCCACATTTAGCGATGGCTTATAGGTATGTTAGGGCATCCTCCTGAGAGTAACTCAGGTCTCAACAAAAGGAAATCAAGAGGTCTGTGTGTGTGTAGAACAGCTGAGGTACAACCACAGCAGTAGGAAGGCTTCTGCACTTTTCTTTGGCTGCTGCTTGTGTTCTCTTTTCACTACATTCAGGATGCTCAAGAGTGAGATCTTGCATACAAAGCATAGGTAACAGGAAGACACAACTGCCTTTTCTTTTCCCAGTAATAACTAACCCTTTCTTAGTCTAAACTGGGAAGTCACAGCTTGAGGACAAGATGATAGAAGTAGACAGTAGTGGAAACATTACGACAAAGGACACCTCCAGATCTCCTGCCTTCAAAAAGGAACCCAGAATGAGATACCACATGCAGTACTCACAGCCAGCATCCTCTGATGAGGAGAAAGAAACCACATCAGGGTGGTAGCTGGTCACTGAAGATCACAAATAACTGACAAGCATGACAGCTTTGTTCATTTTCAGGCTGTGTTTTGTTTTCTGTTGTTTGGGCGTTTTGTTTTGTTTGGGGTTGGGTGTTTTGTTGGTTTGCTTTTTGTGGGTTGTTGGGGTTTTTTTTGTGGTTTTTTTTTTTAATTGCTTTGCTGAGGTGCACCAAGCTTCAGATTACTACCAGCAACACAGAGGCAGGGGCCAGTGGCAGTGAAGTTCTTTGGAGATGTCCAAGCACTAAAGCAGCCTTTCAGAACTTTCTGAAGTGGACTTTCAACAGGTGTCAGGAACTACTGCTCAAGAGTTGCCATCAGCATTGAGGAAAGGTTTTTCTTTAAAAAGGAATCTGAGTCTTGCAAGGGAAAACATAAAGGAAATAATCATTGTTCTAGTTCCACATTTAGCGATGGCTTATAGGTATGTTAGGGCATCCTCCTGAGAGTAACTCAGGTCTCAACAAAAGGAAATCAAGAGGTCTGTGTGTGTGTAGAACAGCTGAGGTACAACCACAGCAGTAGGAAGGCTTCTGCACTTTTCTTTGGCTGCTGCTTGTGTTCTCTTTTCACTACATTCAGGATGCTCAAGAGTGAGATCTTGCATACAAAGCATAGGTAACAGGAAGACACAACTGCCTTTTCTTTTCCCAGTAATAACTAACCCTTTCTTAGTCTAAACTGGGAAGTCACAGCTTGAGGACAAGATGATAGAAGTAGACAGTAGTGGAAACATTACGACAAAGGACACCTCCAGATCTCCTGCCTTCAAAAAGGAACCCAGAATGAGATACCACATGCAGTACTCACAGCCAGCATCCTCTGATGAGGAGAAAGAAACCACATCAGGGTGGTAGCTGGTCACTGAAGATCACAAATAACTGACAAGCATGACAGCTTTGTTCATTTTCAGGCTGTGTTTTGTTTTCTGTTGTTTGGGCGTTTTGTTTTGTTTGGGGTTGGGTGTTTTGTTGGTTTGCTTTTTGTGGGTTGTTGGGGTTTTTTTTGTGGTTTCTTTTTTTTTAATTGCTTTGCTGAGGTGCACCAAGCTTCAGATTACTACCAGCAACACAGAGAGGCAGGGCCCCATAGCTGAGCAAGCCTCTTCAGCCAAGGCTCCTAAGTTGTATCAGAGTTCAACTGAAGGAGAAGGATGCAAAGCACAATTTTCCCCTGTAAGATTACTTATAGGGACAGCAGTTGTTTTTTACACCTGTGTGCTGCGTCAAAACCTTTGAAGCCTCCATGACGACAAAAAGCTCTGAAAGCTCTGAAAAAGCTTTGTTCTTTTTGGAGTAATTCCATGGAGTAACTCACTAATTTAGCTAGCAATAATTCCTGAGGGTGCAGATATCTTTGGTTTGAATGCTAAGCAAATGGAACACTGAAAAGGTAACATAAGGCTTCCTCTAGACAGAGCAGAGGCAGTAGCCACGCCCGTAAGAAAAAGGAAACCCTGCAATGAGATTCTGGAACAGTTTGGGAAAGTTGTGGCTATCCACCAGAAGTTGCATGGAAGAGGAGTCTGAAGTATGAACCAAACAGCAGCTACCAGACCAAGAGTCTTCTCCCACTGCATGAAAAGATACAACAAACAAGTGTGTGAGGAAAAATTTTTCTGTAGCCTCTACATGCTATAGAGATGAAAGTAAATGGCAATCTTAATAAGGACTACAGTGAAAAATGTTTGTGTTGCTGCAGCAGTGCTAGGGGAATCGTATACCCACAGGGATCAGCAAGTGGCAATTAAAGGAATGGCCTTGAAAATGAAAATGGGAAGCAAGAAAGGCAAAGAATGACACAGCAACTACTTAGCAATACCATGGGAAGGAAGAACCCAGAGCAGAGATGTCTAGAAGACAGGTAATAAAGGGCATGGTGGAGAGAAAATGAAAGATAAAGCAAGCATAAAAAGGGAGGATGGAGTGTGGAAGACAGTGGATGCAGGACCTATATCATGCTTGGTATTGGAAAAGGAGAAGGAAGACCTAAAGGAGATGCAGAGCAACCAGAAAAATGTTTGGGAGACGGAAGAGTAGGGAATTGAAAGAAAATTCTCAAGCAGAGGGAAGCAAGTGGGTAATACCTAAAGAACTGCAATGGAAAATGCCAAAAATCCCGGTTTAAAGTGTTTCTCCACTTTACATAGAAGAATGACAGGCTGACGGAATATTGGAGTCTGAATAACCAATACAGAGGTCATCCCCTTTATGTAAATTTCATTGCTTTACTGCACTCAATATTCTTAATGAGCAGCATGCAAAACTCGATGATAATCCTCTGAAACAGGACTTTATTCATTAGAACAAAATTAAGACAACATCTTCTTATTAGAACAATTTCTCTAACTTTATTTCTGTAACAGTTACAATGATTGAAATCATTATTTAAATAAAAAATCGTCATATCAAAGCTAGGGTGAGAGCGGAGTTTTTGTTTCTTAGAGTTCTATCAACTTTTTAAAATAATCACATCTTCATAAATATCTGGCTTCCCCTTCATATGTTTTGGGTTTTTTTTTAAAGTTGTTTTTAAGTATTTGGAAAAAACAAATATAAAAAATATAAAATTCAAAATGGGAACAAAATACAGTTTTCAACACTGAAACTCAAAAGTTAAGCTCTTGCTGATCTGGTCCACAGCCCTATCTTGGAACACTGAAGAACTTAAAATTTGTAACAGAAAAAATGACAGATAAAGAGATAAAGTAGTGTAAAAAAATGGAATGCTGCAATCCAAACATTTACATACCTTTTTGGTTTTCATGTTCATTGCTTTAGATTAGCATGGTCGATGTTGCTACCATGCATATGAAGTATTATTAGAAGCAAAACAAAGCTCTCAAAAGCAGACACGCATGAAAGCAAAGGGTACAGGTAAAACTGTAACACATCAAGTCCCAAATGGGTTGTAGAAACCTTAGTTGTCATTCATCATATTTTTCTATTTTTCAGAGACATAAATCCTGGAATTGTTAAGTTTTAAAGCAATAACTTACCTCTGCAAATAAAGGGGAGATAACTGTAGACAGGCATTGGGATAGAGGCCTCTTTGGGATATCCTTTTCCTTTAAAGAAAACAAAATTCTGACCAATTTTATTTCTGAAAAAAAGCATCCGCATTGTGTTCTGTTTCTAATTAAAGAAAAAAATAGTTCCAACACACTACATTTTATGAAAAAATCTGTTTCTATGTATATACAAATATGTAAAGTGTTCTACAACAGACTATTCCAAAGCACTGTGGAAAATGGAGGCTGAATTAAAATTTGAGGCTACGGCACCTCAAATACATGCAAGCTCAAAATTTAGGGGGGGGGGCAAACCACCAAAACCAAAAAACCAACCAAAAAACCCCCACCAGACAACACTACTGAGCATGTACTAAGTCACAGACATAGAGATTTACTAGGTTCCTCCCGTATGATACAATGTTTTTCTTATATTTCTCCAGTTCTGATAAGGGCACACACCCAGAATTTTCAGAGCCAGGGTAGCAACCACTTGCCCAGCCACACAGGCTGCAGGAAATATGATGGAGCAGCTCCTAAACATCCCTTATTCTATTTTTTGGTGGGGTTTTTTTTGGACACATGCACATTCTATTCTTTGCTACATTGTAGACTTTTTTTCCTAAAAGACCAGAATGCCTTCCCCAAAACCCAGTCTAGCTTTGTACTGTACTGGTTAAATTTACTTTACAGAAGGAAGATTTTAAAAATAAAATATTGCCTGGTCTTCCTCCAGTGGTAATATTTCACAAACAACAGAAATATTTTGGTACATATTTCACGAACTACAGAAAAGGGACACATTTACAGAATACCCAAACTTCAGGACTTACTCAAAACGTTTTGTGAAAGGCAACTGTAGCAAATACATTTTTAGCAAAAATTATGAAAATTTTACAATTTAAATGCTTTTAAAGGTATATAATAAATAGACTTGTAAAAAATACAGAATCACCCCACTAAATTATTAAAGCAAGAATTATCTCCTTGTATAATACCGTCAATATTTTGAGCACCTTATTTCTTTGCAACTCCAAAGGCTGGGCTGCTCCGTTTTCTAGATTCTTGGGGTCTTTTTCTCTTATTGTAAAGATCCACTCTCCTGAATCACTCCCACCTGAAGCCTGGCCATCTGGTTCACTTTGGGATGAGGAGGGGGGGAAAAAAAGTTTTATTACCTACACCTTATTGTCCATATTCATTCAATATATATGCTAAACATAAAAACTCCAGTCAAGACCAAAAATCAGGATTCTATTGTGCAAGCCAATAAGTATAAAGACAAGTATGAAAAGTAATGTAATTTATCTTTTGCGGAAATTAAACAAACAAACAAAAAAAAAGAAACCAAGATACTTCACAATGTTAAATTAACTTCAAAAAGAAAGAGAGGCATTACAGATGGAAAACATTATCCCAAGTTACGTAACAAGTAACATGAAGTGGTTTATTGCTATCTGAAAACTGGCTTTAGCAGAGTACCTCAAATCATTAGGGATGGGGGAAAAATTAGGAGACTTAATTCACTTTTTTGCCTAGAAAAACAGCTAAGACCCTAGCTTAGAATACCTTTGAGGAAGACGGTTCATCCCCAGCCTGTTAGCAAGGTAATTTCCCACTTCAAAAAAATTGGCTAAAAAAGTACAGATACAGCATGGCTTTAACAAACTGCATCACCGTAAATCAATCTTTTGCCTCATTTTTTTGTGGATGGCATAGTAATTTTTTCTATAACTCCTGCGAAGTTAAAAGAACAAAAATATTTATGCTGACACTAATCCGTCACTGCATTACATTTCTCCTCTCACTACGATAAATATCCTTCTCTAACTTCATTTCTTCCTGATCTGTGAATTAAGTGTGATTTGCAAGAAAACCACCAACTAAAAGGGCATGTAGTGGCTACTGTACAAAAAGTATTTGGCGTGGTCTACCAAGTCAAAAAGCACATGATCAGTGTGAGAAAATTCTCCAAGATTTCTGCCTGAAGCCACACAGAACTTCTGGCTGTCACTGAAAGAGGCAGGTCTACCTTCCTTGTATACGTTAGCTCTAGCAAGCTGATCCAACAGTAAAATATTTATCGATTTGGAAAGTTAGTATTCCAGCATGCCAAATCAACTCACCCTTTTATCACATCTAATACAAGGGCTGCTGTGGAAGCAGAGGAGGGGAAAGCAGGCTTAGACATAACGTTAAATTGTCTCACAAGCACGCAATAACCATTCTAGTTCCACTACTCTCCTATACCAAGCCATCAAAGCTGGTCTGATATTCCACAGGAGCAATGGACTGTAACCTCAAAGTTCAGTTAGTAACTGATCTGAGACTAGTTTTAGGACTAGTAATTTACCTTCCAAATCAGACCTGGTTTTGGGCTGGAACTGTGATCACTGGCAGGAATCAAGCCGTTAATAATGTAGGACAAATCTACAGCTGTAATGGCAGCTCATAACTAGCCTGATGCTTGCCATTAGCACACAGACTGGAATTGCAGAGAACAGTTGTGTTTTCTTTATGATGAGGAATTTAACAGGTTTGTGAATAAATTGTGGCAATCCCCTCACTTGATTTTCAAAAGTGTGTAATCTCAGGATACCCACTATTTTCAAAATTACTTTTAGACTAACAAAGTTAAAAAGTTAACTGAGTCGTAATTATTTGTAACTTGGTTTCCTAAGGAAACCAACTCATGAACCTATTGAACAGATCCATCAAAATTTGATGGAGAGAAGTAAAAATTGGAAAGGAAAGAAATCTGGAAATATTTACAACCCTCCTCCTTTTTCAATAAATAATTTGACATTTCATGACTATCATGCTGTAATGGCCCAACCTTTCTGGAAGGACAGAAAAGAAAAAAACACCCTCATAAAAAACCCTAGGTAATATGGTTTGTACCCCAAAACCCCATTATTATGGAAGCACTGTCCACTAACCCTCTCTTACATGCAAGGATATGCTGCTGCCTGTTTACTCAGATAGCCAGAATGAGGGGCAGCCTGCCACCAAGGAGACAACTCCCCTCCCTAGGTGGCCACATGCACACACAGCACAGTGCATGTGCACACTGCTACTCGGCTGTGCAGGGTGAGACTTACCTTCTGCTCGCATGACAGGAGTAACAGTTGGCCTTATGTCTAGGAAGGACCCTAGACCCTACATAAGAGAGAAGGTAGTATAGAATAGGCCACGAGAATTGTTCTCAGCGACTGTAATTTGCATGAAATCCCTTGCAACACTGAAACCAAGATTTCATTAGTTTACCAAGGCTGCTAAGCTGAAAAGCTGTAAACAACAGAACACAGGAATACATGTGCTAAAAATAACTACTTGGCTCCTGTATTTACAAAGGATATTTCACAAACTCATCAAACTTACGTATCTGAGTCATCAGAACTGGAGTCGTCATGACTTTGTTCAGACTTCCATCTCTTGTGCCTATCAATAAGGTCAGTCAGGTAGGAAGTTTTCTTTGAGTTTCGTAAAATAAATTTGTGTTTTAAGAGCTCTTTTGCAGTAGGTCTCTTAAAAAAAAAAAAATATTTTTTTACCACATTTGAGAGTGTTAAGTGACTCACTATAGAAATATTAAGAAATCCAGACTTCAGTCTTGATACAAATGAGATTTTAAATATATACAGTATCTAAGAAAAAAAAGAAAGATGCTGGTGAACATGTTGCCCCATATTAGAAAAGCTGAACTGCACTTATTCATGTAGTTCATGTAAACCAGTCAAGTTCGCTACTATACATTGACAAACAGATGAAACTCACAAAGCTGGGGTCCTTGTTTAAGCAGGCCTCAACAAATTCTTTGAGGGATTTACTGAAGTTTCCTTCCAGCGTTGGTGGATTGTTCTTAGGAATGAGGAACAAAACCTTCATTGGATGCAATTCTGAATGAGGTGGCTCTCCTTTTGCAAGTTCTATGGCTGTTATGCCTAATGACCAGATATCTGCCTGTAAGAAACAATGCTTTTAAGATTAGGTTGGAGAACGAGAAGAAACAGTGTTGCCTGCAAACATAGATTTTAAACCTTTACTGTAAATCATTTGTTCTTGTTAACACAGTCTGGTTTATGTGTTTAACCACATAAAATAAAGTATACAGAGTTCCTTGGTTGTTTTTACTCTACAGCATAAAGTGGTTCTACTTATTAGTGTTATAAACTAGCATTTTTTCCACCATATTCAAGTACACTATGTAAATATAGGGCAAGACTCAAATATTGGCATAAAGGAAAATGTTATAACATGCACAAGATTTTTCCTCAACAAGCTAGTACAACCATCAGAAATTTAATAGATCAGAATATAATTTTCCTGGGGTTTAACACTGTATTACTTCTTCACAGACTAGAGAAATGCAGTCTAGAACAGTATTATTCAACTTTTTCAACCCAAGAGTTCAACGAGTGAAGTATTTGGTCGAAGTAGCTTCTGAAATATTGACAGCACTTTTCTACCTGATCTGCTTTGTAGACCTTCTCCTGTGAGCCATGTCTTGTAGGCCAAGAAGGCCTGATCTAAATCAAACTTCCCTAAGTCATGCCCATGCAAAATGCAGATCCAAAGGCTTACAGCCAAGTTAGAGGGACAAATCAAGAATGCAGCAGAGACCAGTGCTAGATCCGCTACCATTTAATTTCATTGATGACTTGGATTCACATTGTTACTGGATGCCACAATATGCATATTGGGTTTTTTAGAGAAGATTATTTAAATATATGTTTCATAGGTTTTTATTATCAAAATGTGCTACTCCTTCTAGGGAACGCTGTCTCCCTAGATGCAAACCCTATTTCCAAATCTGCCTGAAGTAATGTGAAGTAATACATCATAATCCTCTATGTTCTCCTGAAATAACAGACCTAAAAGTCAAAAGAATGGGTGAATAAACCCCTCAGAAAGGTGAAAGAAAAAAAATTTCACAGAACCATCTGTTCCAAAGGACAAAATATCAATTACAAATATTTATGTTTTGTTTCTTCTGTTTCTTTTGAAGTGAAAGCAGAACAAAGATTTATCCTCAGGAAAACAGGAAAGATCTGAAGCGAGCTGTCTGGTTTTACTCCCAAACAGAGCATTTGGAACTTTGCTATGCTGTAAACAGATCTATTTCCAGGTACTGGATAGAGTAGAGATTTCATTTTTCACTGCTGTCCTTACTAAGTGTCCCTCTAATCCATCTGTCTCTGCTCAGTTGATATGTTAGGTTGTCTTTGACTAAGTCATAGAGGACTACAGGCTGATAGCTGCAATGTATGCACCCATTCCACTATCATAGCTACATACTACAGCATGACTGAAAACAAGCTCCTTCTTCCTTATTCAGACAGTATTCTATTGTTAAGAGCTTAGTTACTTAACTTTGCAAGTAAGTATGGAAAAAAAACCAACGCTGAGTCAATTAGCATACCATCGAATTTATGAAATGTTTTGTTAACCCATGTTACAGAACTGCCATCTCGCACTGAGCACACAGGATTACACAAGTATATGAGCTCTGAGTTTCATTTATCTTAATAACAGCATTATCAGCTAAGCTCTCCTCAAGTCTGAGTATAATTGTGAATAACTTCCCTCTAGCAGGAAAGCTTTTCTTGGTTATGAAAGAAAAACGTCACCTGCGAAGATGAGTCTTCATGTTAAACAACTGAGCATTATTACTTCCAATTTACTCCAAATTTCAGTTTCTCAAGAGGAATGTGTTAAAGCCATATAAATGGATAGATTTTCTTCTGCCAGACTTTCAGTCACAGATGGAGTATGTGTATATATAAGTACAAAAATCAAATTTATATGAGTATGTGTGCATAGATATCCACATGCGCGCGCACACATATATAAATACTTCCTTTTTTCCCTCATATATTTATAACTTTCTACTGCTAGTGACCTTCCTCCACAAAAAATGAATGAAAAAGTCCAACAAACCAGGGCTGCACACTGAACTCTTTGAAGTCCAAGATGGGTTTTGGAAGCCCATTCGTGTTGGAAGCATCAAGAACAAACCCCCCAAATCCTCTGGAACTGCAACTCTTCCTTTCACAGATAAGAACGGATCTCAAAAGAGGGATGCAAGTACCAATTGCATGTGTATCCAACTAGGCATATCAAGGATGCGCTGTCTGTGACAACGAAACTCCAGAACAAGTGCAAATCGGTCCTCCAAATGGGGAGGGAGAAGCATGACCTTAAGAAGTGATGACACTATATCATCACTAAGTTTTACCACAAGTTACGATTTTTACAGTTTCAAATCTTGCACAAAAATTATTCTTCTAAGTTCAGATGAGAGTCAGCAAGTCACTGGTAACTACTATTTATTGCAGTACTGCCATAAGTCTTTCCTCTTCCATTCTAATGAGTAAAATTTAGTCTGACTTTGAAGCTTTTGTAAGTCAAAGAAAACAGGCTATGTGCAAGAGAAAAACATTTTAAAAATAAATATTTATTTTTCTATTAGAAATTCTATAGTAGTAAGGACAGAGAACTAGATATGGGAAAACTGAAGCAGATAAGAAAAGATGCTGACTTTCAGATGAAGAAAGGAATCAAAACAGGATGAAGAAGTAAGAACTATTTCCAAAATAACAGAAATTAGAAAGAAGGGAAAGATCCTACGGGGACATTTTATCAAAGAACAAATAGCTTGGAGAGAAGGAAATAAATGGTATGGGAAAAGATAAATAAAAAAGGAAAAGAAATTAAAAAAACAGGTGGTAGCTTTTATATAAAGCTTATAGTCATTTTTTGACATTTCACTATCTTTCCCCATGGCTGATAGTTTCTTTAGCAGCTAGATTTTATCACCCCCGTGGATTACTTGGACTTGAAAAATAAACTACAAGAGAAAATGAAAAATAAAGTTGAAATTTTTGCTATCGAGTACACCTCTCAGATTAGCTACTGACCATATTGAAATGCAAACATTACAGCTAACTTACTCTCTCACACAAGCCATCTGGAAATCCTATGTTCTCAAATATATCAGTCTGAATTATTATTTACAAAAGTCTGAAAGAAGCTGTTGAAATTTTAGTATCTATGTCAAAAATCACATACTTTGATTATTTTTTAGGCAATAAAGACAAGTGTTGGAATGTCTTGTAAACATACCTTGCAATACATGGTCTGAGAAAGAATAATAGGAATATCTTAAGGACACAAAAGAGTTTGGGAATGGGACTGAATAAAGTGAGAATGGAATGGGCAATTCTGTACGGCAGTTAAGGAATACACAGCTCACATATGCATAAAGCAGTCCAAAAAGCCTCACATAATCTTGAGAGCACAGTATCAGGAACATAAATTGGGACTTGGTTTGACATTGCTCAGTTTCACATATTTTAAAAGAAAAATACACAAAACTTACGTCATTTGTCAAATCCTGAATTAAAACAGCATTTTTCAAAAATGCAGACATTTTTTGTCTATGAAAAAACCCTGCTTCTCTACCCTAACAAAAGATATTTCTATTGTGATCCAACTGTATATTACAATGGATATATTGTGCTTGTGTTGCGATTTCAGTACACTGCTGTACCACTCTTCTAAATCAAAATCCTGTGGAATGTAAATATCTACAAATAAGTAAATTTGATATTAAACATTAAACCCTCCTTGTACGGAATATCTAGAAGAACGTGGTCAGAGAGTAGCATAGACCTATGCAGCACATTCTTCCACAGGTGAATAACAGCACTTTCAAACAACACTTTCACGCCCACCAAATCCATACTCTTCAACAGTCTTGCTGACTTTTTTTTTTTTCTTTCTAACAACAAGTGGAAGCATATTAACATTTTGTATATATTTAGTCTCTTCTACTTTTAAACAACCATCAGAAATACTCTATTTTTTTAATTCAAAAGAGTGGGATAAAAGGCGACAGGATATACTTGTCAATATCGTAATATTTCTTGCCATCTGGATGAGCTTAATACACTAGGAAACTTAAGGTTTGGATACAAATTAGGAAAGCTTCTTTCCTTGCCAACAGCTTTTAGCTGCTAGGTATCACCTAAACGTACACCTGTCTAGACACAGCCAAAATTATTACCTACATTCTGAAGACCAACCTATGTAAATCAAGTTAAAAAAGGAAGGGACTTTGGCTAATGCCTTGAAATACCTTACCTTCGAATCATATGCCGATTGCTTTATTACTTCAGGTGCCATCCAAAATGGTGTTCCCACAAAGGTATTCCTCTTTATCTGTGTATCTGTTAGTTGTCCTGCTACTCCAAAATCTGCTAATTTTACTTCTCCTTGTTCAGATAGCAATACATTAGCAGCTGGAATAAAGAAGAGGAAATAGTGGAAGTTAAGACATTTGACACTGGAAGGGTGTTCATTTATATTGCATGAGCTCTTCTAATATTATTACAATACAAATGAAAAACAATTTACCTTTAATATCTCTGTGGATTTTCTTTTCTGAATGCAAGTAATCAAGTCCTTTGAGTATCTCCCTCAATATTGTAGCAATCTGGGTTTCATCGAGTGAGCCAGGTTCTAACTAGGAGACACAATTAATGTTTTTATATATATATATATGTGTGTGTGTGTACGTTTATATTAAAAGGAAAAACAGAGAGAACAGAAATAACACTGTGAGTATAAAAAGACTATAAAACTCCTTCTGCCACACCTCAAAACTTCTAATTTGCTAACTTCATAACATGAGATACAACCCAGAATATTCTTTAAAAAAAATACATAGTTCTGAACTAAGTGGCTTGATGAACAAGAGGCAAAGAAATACTTCATTTACCTAAAACACTTTTAAAAGTTTGTTAAAGGCTCCATAAAGACACAGTTTCAAGTTATTGCTTTGTGGTCAGGTCATAGATATATACACTGCATTTGAAAAGCATCTACATTGTAATCTGATTATTAACGTGACACTGAACTTACACGTGCAACTCCACAGGCCCTATTATGAACCCAAACCTCAAAGTCTGAGAAAAAAACTAAGGCATATAAGGTACCACATCAATCACATATCCTATTACTATATACTGCAAGGGATTTTGTGAAGCGCTCTAAAACACAACTCAAACTGCTAGGCTGACAGAGCATTGCATATTTAAAAAGTTAACTTTTTTCATATAAAACTGAAGGTATAAATCTGCAAATCGTTAGAATTAAAGGTTCCAAGTAATTTAATTCTTATGAGAAGAAACAGCAGTGGTAGAAGATCTCAGAGCTCTCTACAACTGATATAAATTCTAAAAGTGAGTATGCCACTAACTCTAAAGGGACAGAGGAAAGGTCACTACCCAGAAAGGCTTCTTAACCAATAAAGGCATTTCGAGAGAGACACTGAAACTTTGTGGACAACAATTAATATTGGAAATATTTCCAGTATTCTAATTTACTCCACAATAGCAGTCACTGAAACACAATCAAAAAGTTCTACCTCGGAGGCTTCGCTCTGTGAGAAAGCAAGCATTTCACATAAAAAATTTCAGATAAAAATTAGAATATTACACCCCTCAGAAATCGTCAGCTAATAGGTAGGAAGAGAGATAAGATTTCATGTAATGCAGACAACATATTTGTTTTACCTTTGTAGCTTTACTCACAACCCTTTTTGCTTTTCTTTAGCTTTGATAATATACATGATATTGTCACTCCCTGAAACCCACTAAGACATTCTCAAGGCTTTGTTCCGGCTAGGCTGCAAGCACCAGTTCAAGACTTGGCAACATGACACAGCACATCATTGGTAAGTGAGCCTACCAGGGGAGGTGTCTTGCTCGACCTGCTGTTTACTAACAGAGAAGGACTGGTGGGAGATGTGGTGGTCGGAGGCCGTCTTGGGCTTAGCGACCATGAAATGATAGAATTCTCAATTCTCGGTGAAGTAAGGAGGGGGGTCAGCAAAACCGCAACCATGGACTTCTGGAGGGCGGACTTTGGCCTGTTCAGGACGCTGGTTGAGAGAGTCCCTTGGGAGACAGTCCTGAAGGGCAAAGGGGTCCAGGAAGGCTGGACGATCTTCAAGAAGGAAGTCTTAAAGGCGCAGGAGCAGGCTGTCCCCATACGCCGTAAGAAGAACGGGCGGGGAAGACGACCGGCCTGGCTGAACGGGGAGCTCTTGCTGGGACTCAGGAAAAAAAGGAGAGTTTACCGC